TCGGTCATCGGGCTTTGATCGGCGACGCGGAAAATGATAATCCGTCCCGTGTAAACTACAACTAGTCAAAGGGGAACTACTCGCGCAAATGGCCCCGGATTCACTGGGTCGTAACAGACGAGTTTAATCGATATTTTGCGTTCGTCGGGAGCATCGCCGAGAATATCGAATCTTGACAAATTTCTTGCCGGACCGAAAACTAGATTTCATGGATCAAGACTTTGCAATCGAGACTTCAAATCCAAGATTTCAAAGTCGAGCCTTCAAACTGAAGACTTCGCGACCAAGACTTCGAGAACCAGGACTTCGAGAACCAAGACTTTGCAATCAAGACTTCAAGGACCAAGACTTTGGAATCAAGACTTCAAGGACCAAGACTTTGCAATCAAGACTTCAAGGACCAAGACTTTGCAATCAAGACTTCAAGGACCAAGACTTTGGAATCAAGACTTCAAGGACCAAGATTTCAAAATCAAGCCTCCAAACTAAAGGACTCGCGATTTCACGATTTCACGAGCTAGACTTCAAAATCAAACTTTCAAACCCAAAACCTGAAAAACTCAAACTTGAAAGACCAATCTTAAAAATCCAGCCTTCGACCCCAAGACCAGCTTCTCTCGTCGCTCCGCGTGAGATTATCCGCAAGCCCAATGGTCGCGTGACGTAGTTCGCGTCAATTAACGGCGCAGTTTTCACCACTCGCCAACGAGCCCTCGTCTCGTCGGTGGTGGCCGTTGCGACACAAAAAAGGTCGTTGATCTCGTAATCGCACACCAGGCGAGGTCTCGGCTGGTACAAACGCGATGACCCCGCTTAGAGTTTAAGGTCCCGTCCACAATGAGCCCGCAGGCAGCACCTCGATATTGATTTTCCAGCAACCCTGAGCAATGCCGAGGCTCGGTAAGGACACAAAGCCCTTGACGTGCATCCCTTCGGGTTCCCCTCCTTATCGAGTCGTTAAAAAAAAAATGTATCACAGTTCACGTAAAAAAAAAAAATCCATTCAATTGAAGCGCATCAGTCAGCCACGAAACATAAACGAAGATATCAACGACATAACTCCTCTCATCCCGGTCCCTTCGCTGTTCCCGAAACCCGTAGAAATTTCCGCCGTCTCTCTTTTTCCCTTTATTTACCATCCAACAGTCGCATCTCGCCTCCGGTGAGCCCCGAAATTTTTATCCCTCTCCCGCGGGACCATGGGGATTAATCCACGTTCCAGCATCCCGGTCGCCCTCCTCGGGGTTGCTCATCCCCTCGGAGCCCGACAATGGGCAACAATGGGCAAACGAAGGGCCGGGAGAGGTACTTCGTTTCGCATGGGATTCCGCAACGGCGACGTATCGATCGACGAGCAACCCCATGGAATTTGCTCAACGATAAAAAAAGACCCCCGAAATTCGGGTCTAGATATTTTCTTTTCTCACTCGAGTCTGAGACGAGTCGACGACATATTCCACGGGAATTGGGCTCGGGCATCTCCGCTCTGGAAACAATCGGCGGCCATCTTGAAACCGAGCGACTGTTGTGCCTTTCGGTATCCTGGCAACATCGATATACCCGACGCCGGCCGCGAGATCCTCGATAATAAGGATAAGCCTCGATTCCGCCGAGAAACGTGAAACGGAGGATGGGGAGTCCAATTTGTCGCGGAAATTCAAGCGGAGGGTGGACGTCAAGGTCCTTCGAAAGGGAAGGATTCCAAGGGAAGGACTCGAGGTGAACGACCGAGGGGGTTGACGAACATCCTCGACGCCGAGTAGGGCGAATATCGCGATTCGGCCTTCCCAAGGGATTTGATAAAACTTCCATCCCGTTTCTGGGCAAGATAATCCCTTCATCCTGTATCCTAAAGGACCTCCGACTTCGCGGTCCCATAGGACCCGTTAAATCCGAGCCCCATGACTGATCGACGTCCGCCGGCAGCCGATTAACGGTCGATCGATCGATCGGAATGACGTGCCTCGACGGCCAATCGGAAGGGAGGATATCCCGGGGAAGGAGAAAGGGAAAGAGGAGGAACAGGGAACGAGGATGAGCGATGGAAAAAAAAAAGAAAGGAAGAGAGAGAGACGAGGCCGGTTAATTCGGGGGATACGCGGGAACGCGGGACACGTCCGGGCAAGGATCGCAACGATTCGAAGACCGTTATCCTCGTTAACGTGAATTTTGCGCCGACCATTCGCCGAGAGGGAGATAGAGAAGGCGGAGCCCGTTTTGAGATCGATCACCCGTCTATTTAATATTTCACTTTGGGCACTCCGAAATTTGAAGTACACCACAGTGTCCTCTGAGCAAACCGATTCCACGAGGCATACGAAGCGGTTCTTTCTTTTTTTTACCTCAAGTGCCGGTCAACATTAAAGCTCATTAATATTATAGCACCTGGCTCGACCAAACCGATTCCAAGATGTGTACGCAGCTTTGTTTTTCTTTTTTTAACCTCAAGTGACCGTCGATATTAAAGCTCATTAATATTGCAGCATTTTGATTAGCTTAGAAAGATAAAATGAAGGTACTTAATGCGACGTTTACGCAAAGTGATATGCATAGACGGGCAAAAAAAGAAAAGGAGCGGATTTTCAGTGATCCCCAAAGGAAGCCCCGAGGTCAAAGGAGGTGATCCTGGCAACAAGGATGCCCCTAAAAATCGAGGACCTTAAGTCGTCGTTTGCCCACCGCGGTTCGCGTACAACAGGTCGGAAGAGAGAGATAGTGAGAGAGAGAGAGAAAGGGCAAGAACGAGAAAGAGAGAGGGGAGGGGCCGGTCCACAAGGGGGTCGGGCGATTCGTTTCGTTCCCGAGGGGCTTCCATTTGCAAAAAAGGAAAAAAGAAAAGAAAAGAAAAGGGAAGAAGAAAACAAGAGGAAGAAGAAAGAATCTCCCTCTGATCTTCCGTCCCGGGTTCCCCTTGGCGCCCCTCAAAAGCGCTCACCTCGGAAACTCGTGGCCAGAGGGAGATAGAAAAGAAAAAAAAGATTTAGAGAGAGGGAGAAAGAGAACCAGAGGAGCCCCTGGCGATGCGCCGAGGTTGCCACTTTCGGCCTCTCTCTCGTATCCTCCCCGCGTCTCTCTCTCTCGATTCAAGATGGTCCTCGTCGAAAATACATTAAATGAAAAGAAACCACCGATCTACGTGGATTATCTCCCTCTCTCTCGCCTCCAGGTCGAAGATCCAGGATCCTTGGTCTGGCAACGCCGGCTAGACGGTTAAATCACCGGATGCCAAAAGAAGGAGAGGGGAGGGTTAGACGAAGATGGAAGAAAAGAAAAAAAAAGGCCCGAAATCGGAGGGTTGCCGCGGAGGATCCTCACAAAGGAGTGCTCCTCGAAAGGAGAGGAAGGTGTTTAAATCACCGATAGGGGGCCCGTCGGTGTGTGCGGCCTCAGGTGCGAGAGGCGCTGCCCCGTCGGTCCGTCTCTCTCGCTCCCCCGGCGTCCGCCATATGGCCGTCCTCCTCGCACTCGCAGTCGGGATTTCGCGCCGTCTCCTGCGCACGGGCCATCGCGTCGTCGTGCATCAAAATACGAGACGACCATCGGTACCGTTTTCCCTCCGCGTTAATGCTCGCCTGCGACGTCCGATCACGGGCGTCGATGCAAGAGCTATGCACGTGATACACGTAATGCATGCAACTTACGTACGCGCTCTCCTCTCTTCGAATCAATTTACCATGGGCTCTCGTCCGTGGAGATCTCGCGTAATGTCGCGGGATACTACCGGGTCGCCTCTCCTGTGTGTGTGCGCGTGTACCATCGCGTGCGGTATCGGTGTACAGCCGATAACGACCGACCCGAAGAGAGATACGTACCGACGCCCGTATGGATACGAACGTATACACTTGTACCGTAAAAACGACGGAGAGAGCGAGAGGGGAATACGTGACCCGCGTGCAAACAGGCGAGTAACGTGTATCCTCCTCTCCTCGAGCCGAATTACGGGCGGGATATATCTTGGAACCGAGATACTCCGTTATACACGGCTCGTACACACGAGGACGGTCGTAAACAAATCGGACGTCGAGTTTATCGATTTCCCGGGGCATTGTCAAGTCGAAGTTCAGGCTTATCGATCGGCTTTTCGGCGTTTCCGGAGTTTGCCACGGGTTATTCATACGATGGTTGAGGTTAGGCTCGAAGGTTCGGTTCGGAGGTTAGGTATACCAGCTCGACGAGGCTTTTCCATACCCATGAGGCCTCACGAGAGGCACGGCCACGTCCTTTGACTCGATCTCCGTCCTATTTATAGGAGCTAATTGGCAGATATATATATTTTACGGTCAATGAATTCATACATTACGAGCATCTGCTTCCCAAGTAGGAGAGCTTTTACGCGATCGGGGTGCACCACTCGAGGCGAATTAGAACGAAACTATATATATACGCATCATCGTCGAGAATTCCCAGATGGCGAAGAAAAATGACGTCACTTACGTACACCGTGCCTCAGGCCAAAGTCCCGAGTCGAGGGTCAGCCAAAAAAAATGTTTCCCAAATATTCATTGAGCACGGTTGTTTTTTATTCCCGGGGATTTAATCGCAACGCGGATCCAGGGAAAGTTCCATTGCCGAACATCCCCTCTCGCTGAGCGTCGTCCGAGAAAAGTTTATCTCGTTGAATCGATTCCTCCGAATTTCACCACGCTCGATACCCGCGTGACTTATTCCTTAGTTTCGAGTTATTCGAGAGTTTTCGCCGAACCGTCAGTCGCTGTTTCGCGACGCTCTCGCTCGGGAAGATCGGAGTCCCACCGAGCGCGTCGAGTGTCTCATAGACCGCGGCATGAGTGAAAGACCGGATTGTAAAACCTATTCTTTGCGACCTTTCACACCAATTGTCGATCTATCACCCGCGCCGCGCTCTGTGCGACGTCCGACGCGCGCAGAGAGCCTTGATTTTCCCTTGGCGGTTGGCCGTTCGAAGTCTGCCGCGGCAGATTCGAATTTCCCGCCAGTCGAACGGTTTCCGCGCGCCGTGGGTATTAGTTCGAGGTCCTTACCTGATGTACTGAATGTATCCATGCCTGGCGTCCTCTATGAGGAACCCCGGGTTGCGCATCGCGACGATCTCGAGAACCATCGAGCCGACGGCGCCCAGCTTTGCCGCGCGCAAGACGAGTACAACGACGACGGGCGTCCTCACGGGCCGTCGCGACGCCTGACATTCCTCGCCATCACCCGGCGAACTCTTTCACGCTCGGTCGCGGCTCGGGACGGACACCTAACCTCTTGATGCGCCTGCCCGCTCGAACCCGCACGTCCCGCGGGGGCTCATGCCGAAACCGAGTCGCGCGCCCACTTTTCCGCCCGCCTGGCGAAGCCCCCCCCACTCGCCCTCGTCACCCGCGACACGGAGACTCGGATCGCAGATGCGCACGCCGCGGCGGTCCCGGTGCGACTGGCGACCGCTCGACCGCTGCCGCTCTCCCGCCCTGCCGCCTTCCCCCTCCACGCGCCGCCGCGTGCAGCCTGCGCGAAATACTCGAATGGGAGTTGCTGCGAGCGACGCGAACCGTATTTCGGAACAGGATTGATTTTCTCTCTCCCTTTCTTCCTCCTGTATATTTATCTCCGCTCTTGTTCCTTATAGTTTCACGGAACGCAACTTAAAGTGATATGAAATAGTCCTTATATGTATACACGTCAGAATATTTATACAACTTTTCGCCAAACTGGGTGCATTGAATAATTTGAAACGTTTACGCGGAATTTGTAAAGGTCTTGGAGAACTCACGAAATATAATTTTTTTGTTTGGTTCTTCTAAAAGAAAATACATTTTTCTTTTCGACAAATGAAATTTCGTCAGGTTCAAGACTTTCGTTAGGTCGCTAGGTTAATCGCGCGTTAAAGTCTCATTATTATTCGGAGCACCCAGTTTGGAGAAAAGTTTTATAAATATTTGGACGTTTTGGTATGTGTATATGGCACCTTTGTAACGCCTTAAGGAACCGGCGACGAGTTATCGAGCGACTTATCGTATCCGGGAATTTAGACGTGGGGAATTAATCGTAACCCCCGATTTCACTTAGGTGGAGGATGACGAAGTTTCCCAAAGATTGGATACGCCAAAACTTTGGGGAAAAGGCGAGTAATCGCGGAAGAACCCGGAGCATCGCCGTGACGCAACCGGGCCTCTGCGTTCTCCGTTTGCGCGGACAAAGGGAAGCCTTGAGGATTTTCCGTCATGCGTTACACCCTCGACATCCATCCTCGAGGTGCGTACACGAAGCGTGGAGGTCGGGCTCCTTCCTCCGGTTATCATTTTCCCGGCTCGAAAATCAAGAAAAATAATTTTTCTTCATTATTAACAACAGCGATTAACAGAAAAGTGAAATTTCCAATCGAGATGAGATGCCGACAAAGCTACATATACGACAAATTGAAATAAAATGGCATCGACGTTCGCGTAAAATTGCACCAATGCGAAAACTCACAAATAAATATAAATACCCTGAGAAAAACATCTCATTAAACCAAAGAAATATTCCGTTAATTCAAAGAATAATCATATAACTCAGGTTAATTTTTAAATAAACTCGCTGCACCGTTCATTTGCAATTATAACCATTTAATTCAGTTAAATAATTATTCTTGGAATTAACAAAATATTTCTTTGGTTCGGTGTTTTTTTTTGTTTTTTTTTTCGGGCCTAGGAATTGACCGCGAAAAGGGCGTTTTACATCCTGAAACGGGCAATTTTTTTATAATTGTATCGCACTAGGTTTCGATTGAAAAAAAATATATATTTTTCCATCGGCATCTGCCGTACGTCTCTCGGCTCTTCGGTATCGATGGATCATCGGCGATCGTGCGGTCGCGTGGAAATCGAAACCCGGCACCAAGGACCTCACGCGACGGGTTTACATACCGGTAGCGTTATATGGCGGCGTAACTGCGCGACCACGTAATGCGAAAAGCGCAATTCACAGCCGGCAGTCCTCGGGTTCGCCGGTAAATCGGCACCTTTCCAGGCTGCTGCGATCGGTGAGTCACTTCAGCCTCCGGATCGGCAAGACGGACATTTTTACGGTGTCGTTATACAGGTGGCACGTCGATTTTCAACCTGCAATCAGCGTTCCCCCCCAGTAAGTTCACGATACGTAAACCTCGTTGAACTTTCCACGTGACGGGCATTTTTACCGTATCGTTATACAGATGGCACGTCGTCATCGATTTCCAGCCTGCAATCAGGATTTACTTTTTTCCCGAGTAAGCCTCAAAGTCCATCATTTCATTCGCACTCCGATCTTCCGTAAACGTGAAATTGTCTAATGCAATTCGATAGGAGGCAATTCCCATATGTTCTCGGTAAATCGGCGTTATCCCAGGTCGCTGCCATCCGTGAGTCACTTCGACCAGTTCACCATTAGCAAACCTGCTAAATATCTCGAATGAATTCCAAGAGTATCCGCCGACGACTTGAATTCCTTCAGGTTCATTATTTATATCTCACGAAAAGGAAGAAATTGGCGTAAACTCGTAATCCAGCTGCGTCAGCCATCGAGTGGAACCCGACAGGAGGCAATTCCCAGGTTCGCCGGTAAATCGGCACCTTTCCAGCGACCGGTGAGTCACTTCGGCCTCCGGATTAACCGGCAGACCATTTTTATGGTCTCGTTATATACAGGTGGTACGGAGAGGTGTAATTTTCAATCCACCTTGGGCCCGTCGAATACATATCCCCTGGCTAGGCAAAGCTTCCTCGCGGCTAAGCTCTCTTTCTCTCTCTCCATCGCCTGTAAATTCGCCAAATGACTTCGGCCAACAAGCCTCGAGGAAGTGAACGGAAGCGACGCCGGCACGAGGAAACGTCTTTATTTCTGGCCGAGGTACGAGCCCGCTCCATTGGACCGAGCAAATGAAATTAGAGTCAATTTCTAATGCGGTGAAATGGAACGAGTGCACGGGAAAGGGACCACCACCAGCAGGTGAGCGCCGACCAAACTTTTCACCTACGCCAGATCGAGAGAAATCCGCTCTTTGAGATGCTGCGCCTCGATAATTGCCCCCCCCCCCCGTTGACTTAATTCCGGTGAAGGACGGAATTAATTGGATTTGTATCTATCGAAAGGACATTTTCCAGGGCGATTTTCAAGGGAGAGAGTCCGTGGAACGACCCTTCCGGAAAAATGAACGGCACTCGATGGTCGTCCCTGTAGCTCCGCGAGGTTCGCCCGGACAAGAACAATGACGGCATTGTTCTTGCAGGAGATCCCCGCCTTTTATATGCCGGACATTGTCCACCGTTCGACAATGGTGCCGGCCGACGTGTAAGTGGACAAGTTACGTTTGCAGTGCGCGATCGCCTACAGGCCTGGCTGCAAGATGTAAAATGCGACATAAATAAAGGCCCACGGTGACGTAAAAAAAAAAAACTCCCCAGATAAATCTAGAAATGTCCAAGGATCGACGTAGTTCCGAGATTTCCAGATTTCGGATGATTCGCCTAGGACTCGCCTTATCGTAACTCGAGGGGACTAACGCGGCCTTGAGATTAAGATGAAAGTTACAATTTACGGCGAAGTTTCTCAGGGATAAAGAATACGGTAATGGAGTCGTAAATCACGGTAATTTAACGCATTAATTACCGAGTGGTAACGCGGCCACTTTGCGCCTATAAATACCCCTTTGCATATCGAACGGACCGGCCCCATTAAAAGTACCTTCGAACTCCGACGCGTATTACGGATTTTTCCGCAAAAACAATTATCCGAGGGCGTAATCGACCCGCGGCTTGGTAGTTGGATTTTTCCCAGGCTCGAAGATGCTTTACTACCGACTCGTGTTTTATCGACTCGAGGGGACCAGCCAGGTAATTGCACCGAGTAGGCACTCGCGAAACGCCGTCGAAAATTAATATTCATGCATAAATCCCTGACCGTCTCTGAGTTTGCAAAAATGTCCTCGGCGAAGAGTTCCTTCCATGTAATCCTTGTATACGAAAAAAAAAAAAAAAAAATGAAAGAAAAGAGTGAAAAGTGCGACATGGAGCAGTCTTACGTAGCTAGATTAAGTACGGCAAGGCATCCGTTTATAGGAAATAGAAAGCAGGGACACGGTGGCGGATTTTTACGCAATTGCTAAATCTCAGTGCAATGGTCGATGGAAACCGTTTGCAGGGCTGGCGGATTTTTCCGCGGAATTAATTGTTCCCTCGGCCGCTCGATTTTTCCGCGGCGTTAAACGACGCTTCGCTGCCGTTTTATCGACGTGTAAGAGGGAGTGCTAGCCGAGAGCCATCGGAGGCGTTTTCAACGGAATGGGCCTTAAAAAGCGACTTGTTCGCGTCAGTGCCCGTAATAACGCGGATACGGACCTCGGTAAATTCCGCGGGAATTTCGCACCGGCGAAAGCCTGCGGAATCGTCGAGATCTCGCTTAAGAGTAACGTCCTTTATCTCGAGAGTTTAGATATTCTCTATGTTTTCTCTATATTTCCTCCGTAAGAGGAATTCAAGCAATGCCTGATTTTTCCACAGTTTTTTCGTCGTACGAGACGATGCCTTAACTTTCGAGTGCATTGCCTCCGATGCCACGTTGCACCGTGCAGCTTCTGGACACGTAGGTATATGTGCATGTGCATGCAAATGCGCGATCCTTGACCGATCTCCGTTACCTAAGGTTAGATCGAATGGCTCGAACTCGATGTCAACGACTCGTTACGATCTATCGAACCGACGGCATCGCCAGTCAACCGGATCGCCCGTTCGGGACACTCCCCTTAACGGCCGATGCACGACCTGCAGTGAAAAGTGCAACGAGAGATATTATTTTCGCGATTGATTTTATTAGGACGCTAAGTCAGGTGAAACGACTCGATCGGTCGATGCCACGATATGCGGCGAAGTGCGCGAGAAAAAAAAAGAAAAAAGGTGCAACGTGATTTCCTTTCCTCTCTTCGCGATTGATTTTATTTGGACGCAAAGTCGGTGAAACGGCACGACCTGCAGTGAAGTGCGTGAGGAAAAGTGCAACGAGGAGAATTATTTTCCCGATGGATTTTATCCGGTAGCGAAGCCAGGTGAAACGACTCGCGCAGTCGATGCACGACCTACAGGAAAGTACGTAAGAAAAATAATGCAACGACAGTTATTACTTTCACGACTGATTTTATCCGGTCGCGAAGTCATATCTAACGACTCGAGCTGCTGTGGAGTGCACGCGGAAAAATATAACAAAGAATATTATCTTCACGGCTGATTTCATTACGGCGGAAATTTAGGTGAAACGACTCGAGCGGATCGAAGTCGAAGGTGCGAAGACATTCGCGAGATCCAAATGCGGAAATTCGCGTTAAACCGGAATGGAAACGGAGCCGCCAAGTTTACGGGAGCGATTAATTCCGCGCGGTGCCTCGACGCGACCCGCGGAATG